AATGTATCCTGCTATTTTTTATTTATTTTCCCTTAATTAAAAAGATAAAAAGAAAAAACTAAACAATTTTAAAAAGAGGGGGTTAAGATAAAAGAGGGCATAACAACAGAATAGCGCAGGTCAAAACATGACCATTTAAGCAAAACAGTGTTTCACCACAAGATATCCTGACATAAAAGTGGTGAACTAAGCTAGTGAATACTATAATTATTCAGTCAGAATATTGACAGATTCTGCCTGGTTTCTATATTCAGGATTTTTATGATCTGTATTATTTCACCATTCAGTATATTTTATGGGCTCTACCTCTTAAAAAATAAAATGATAATATGATCTTTTACTCGGACACTGCAATGAAATAGGAATTTTCTGTCAGTTGAAACGCAATCAAATGAAATAGGTACAGGAAAGTAAGTTATATATATTATATATATATATATATATATATATATATATAATATACAGACATAGTACCATATACAATTTTTAAAGGACGAACACAGGAAATATCTTAAGAAAACTTTAATAAACAGAATGTAATATTTTCAGCTATTCACTTTAGGTTCCAACTAAGCAAATAATTAACCTTTTTGTCACTTTATATTTCTATTTTTAAGACTTATGTTTAGAAATATTATATACTGCCTCATACCAAGAATAAGTCAGACTCTGAAACTAGGCTAAATTATTCTTAGGGCTTAAGAAAATCAAGACTGGCTTCACAGATTCCCTGTGAGTGAGGCAGAGAAGGGCACTGCTTAGTGTATGGGTTTTGTAGGCAAACTGCATTGTCTAAGACTAACTTTGCCTGTCCTAGGAAAAGTCACAATTGGCAACTGAGATTATTCCAGGGTACCCAAAGGTCTCCCCCCGCCATGAAAAGAAAATTATAGAACATTAATGTTTAGACAAAATCTTTCCTTTTTAACCCTGTCATTTTTGTAACGTTCACGCAGTACTCCAAAACCGAAGATTATACATTAAAGAATGAGGAATTCAATGTAGAAGGGATTGAGAACACAGATGGAGGTTAAAGGGATGATGGGAGGCAGCAAATAAAAGAAAAAACACAGAAGTCTGTGCTAGAGTACATTGGCTTTAGGTAATTAAAAAAGGGGGGGGGCACTTATGATTCTAGATGATTCTCATCGGATGTAAGCCAAACCCCATCATCCTTGCCCCAACCAGATAAGCATCCTGAACTTTTTCATGTTGTAACTTATGCCTTATCATCTGTATGACACACACATTTACCCTGTGTCTGGATAAATTGTTGAAGCTTTATTTATTTATTTTTGAGAATTTAAAAAAAGAAAGAAAGAAAAAGAGAAATACCTGCTCTTGGGATCTTTCCTTAATTCAGAATAATTTCATAGCACAATTGGAGATTACCATCTGAGGAAAATCAGCCTGTCACTAAATGCGTGGCTCAGAACAGACCCTTTCCTGTTTACAGAAAGTGCAAGCACCCGGGGCTTGAAAGGCAGTGGGGAGAGACCTGAGTAGAGTGAGACAAACAAGGTGCAGAAAAGGATTCCGAAACCCTGAAATAAATTACATGTTTGCACAGTTCTGACACTGTTTATCGTGAGCCATATGCAGACAAATGGGAGTCTGCGGGGAGAGTTTCTATATGCAGTCACGCGGGCACAGCAGTTCCATAAAACATACCTTCAGAAATCCCCAAATCCACACATTGGTGAGAAATTTCTCTCTTGCTTGATTTTGGTTGCTCTCATAAGTAACCTTCATGAAATACCTTTGTTTTCAGAAGATTCAGGTGAACAGAGACTTGAACTCAGAAAACTTGCAAGGAAGGCTTTAGCCTCTTGCAAGCCAAATACTCTGAATGCTTTAGCACTGGCGGAGCTTCTTGGTTTTGACTGACAGCTTTGTTTTATCATGCTTGATTTTATTGTCTTAACAAAAAAAAGTAGTAAGATCTAAGGGACCAATAAAGCCCAAAATGTGTAAATTTTGTTGTAATAAAGAGAGGGAAAGAAAAGTGCCCTGAAGGATACAACAGCAAGGGTGTTTAGGTGTGTTGCATAGAAGACCATATTAATAGTTTGGATTGGATTACTGAACACAACTGCTTGCAGTCTCACTGTTTGAATGTTCTCTTTGTGTGCTTTGATCCTGTGACCTGAAACACCGTTTCTAAGATGATAGCGAGTAATCTATTAACTGGTGATAGCATACTAGTTTTTTCTTTTGTTTTGTTTTTTTTTTTTTTTTTTGCTTTTCTGTAGTTCTGAATTACTTGTACCCTTACACTGTTTTGTTTTGTTCTGCTTTTTTTCTCTTTTTCCTTTTAAATAAAATATTTTAAAAAAAGAACTGTGGGAGTAATAAAACTCAAAATGTGTAATTGTCATTGTACAAAAGAGAGGAAAAGAAAGTGCTCTAAAGGATATAACTGCATGTATATTTAAGTGTATAAGATAGATAACCATATTACTGAGTTTTGTTGGATCATTGAACAGAACTGCTTGCAGTCTGTTTGAATGTCCATTTTATATGCTTTAATTTTGTAACTTGAGCAACTATTTCTAAGATGACAATATGTAATCCATTAACTAGTTATTTCCTACGGTTTATTTTTTTCTGAAATTCTGTATAATTTGTACCCTTTTCCATTTTTTTCCTTTTTCTCCTTAAATAAAATTTTTTTAAAAAGTAAAAGAAAAAAAAAAGAAGAAGCGAATGCAGCACGTGGCTGTGCAGAAAGTTAAAGACAGATGCAATGACCAAAGTTTCTGGCAACAGTTTGATTTCTCTTATATAAGGAAGGTAATATGCCTTGCAGTTAATGTAGGACAAGATTGCTCTAGTGCTCTCTGGCAGGCTAGCGCAGACCCTTTGTGTATTGTATGCATGATTTAGAAGAAGCTGTGTCAGCACTGATTTATACATTGACAGCTAAGGATAATACAGTGTGGGCAAACATACAGCTCACCCTTTTACAGATTAACCTGAAGACTGCATTAGGCAAATTTGATAGCATTAAAAGATTTTGCCAATTTGTCTAGAAACAATTTCTCTTTTGTAATGTGTCAAGGATAACATTCCATGCCATTGTACTAATTTAAATGTCTTTGATAAACTGTTGGAGAGGTTAGAGAATAGGAGTGTAGGTACATGTTTGATATTTAAAATAAAAAGGCTATTAACTTATTTGTTAAATGAATTTAATCTGTAAAAATCAAAAGTACTCAAGAATGGATTTGTTTTCTTGGAACCACAGCAGCCATATTACACCGTGAAGCTTTAAAGTTTTCCTGAAAAAAAAAAATTGTGCTTTTGCATCACTTCTTAACATGTAGGAATGCTTTAGGCTCTTATGGTAGCATCAGTGGTAGGTATTATTTGGGGGGAAAGCCTAAGTTTATAAAAGCAATAAAATTATATCTTCTCTGGGGTGTACCTGTTTTTATATTGCATGTCCTAGAATACCATTTGCATGACATCAAGGTAGACTTGTGTGTGATTGTGTCCCCAGGAGACCTTAAAAATGAGATGTATATTTCATGAGACGTTCTCTATGCACATAATTTCTGAAGTAAGGAATCTGAATGGAGCTCTCTGAAAGTCACCCGATTAAACTATAGCACTTTTATTCAGCAGTCTTACAAGAGAAGCAGCTACTTTACAAGAATGTTTAAACAGTTCTTTAAGAACAGAACTCAAATATGAATTAGCCCCTTTGGTGAATTCTGAACTTGATACAAGGACAAGAGTCTTTTGTATTATGATCATAATCTTATACCTGTATATCTGCATTCCCCCAGCAGCTCATGTACAACTGACAGCTCACCTATTATGGAAAACATTTCTATCTCAAGTGAAGCATTAAGATACTTTTTCTTTGCCTGAATAACAATATCTGTAAGTATCAGGCTACTAGGTTTAAACAACTCTTTGGCAGAAAGAAGATAGTATATAGATATATCTTGGTTACTTAGTTGTTAATTTCAACCAAGCAGTGGATTAGTCTAAATATGGAAGTTTTAATTCCAAAAGAAAAAGTAGAGAAAGCAAACTCAACATTTTGGAACATCTGTCTTTTCCTCTCCACCTTTCAGTTTTTAGCATAAAATAATCTGCTGGAGAAGATTCTTTTGTTTGAGTTACATATTATCTAGAAAGAATTATATGAATTCAAAAATTTTACCATATATATGTATAGTAGTTTAATAATAAACTTGTGTATTTCCTAGGGATTTAGGTCAAAATTACCACCTGTGAGGAAAGTAGAAATTTTATTTTTTTCAAATAATTACAAATATATTTTCTTGGAGTATCATTCTGAAATGTTCTTGACTGAAAAAACTGCTACAAATACATTGTAGAGAGCTTGAATTAGGAGAACTTGTATTAGGAGAATAAAGCTCTTTACTAGCAGACAACTGCTAACTTTCTAAAATGTACTCCTGGTTGGGACGGGCAGCAAGATCTATGGCTCACCATTTCTCCTCCTTGATTTGGAGTTTTGGAAGGAAAACTGCTTTTACAAGAAAGAAACCTAAAAGTAGTCATGTTCTTTCTTGCCAAGGATAGTGAAATTAACATGCAGCTGGGCTTCTCTGATAAATGGATTCTGTTAGGTCACTGAGGGGTGCATGTGACATTAAGTGATTTACAGTCCTTTACCTTAATGAAATTGTTTCAGCAAGATGACGCTGAAAGCTCTTAATGGATAGCTTTTCTTGATGTAATGAAATTGCATTCCTATGGCATTTAATATAAGGTGCAGTTATTATTTACTGGAGCTTTCCAAGGGCTGCTATTTGTACAGACAGTTCAGAACAAAAAGATTTCAGTTAGCGGCGCAGAGAGAGGCCAGAATGGTTTTTGACATTCTTAAGCAGATGAGTGCGCTTGCGAAAGCATTTCAGTTAGTGCGGCCAGAGCTTCGCAGAGCCTTCAGCAGTCTTCCTGTCACCTACTCTTGCTCCTGTTCATTCCCTTTACATATATTCTTGTAATCTGTTTAACAGGCAGCTGGATTACAACCAGATCAGCTGCATTGAAGATGGGGCGTTTAGGGCTCTCCGGGACCTGGAAGTGCTGTGAGTACTGCTTATTTCTCTTATTTCTTTAACAGGAGCTTTGTGTCTGGAGATTAGTAATGTGGAGGTTTATCTGTTGGCTTAGGACATGTGTCAAAATGATCCCCTAAAAAAGCTACCTTAATACGAGTACAGAGTTGAAATATTTATGTGCAAAATCGTGTGTTTCCTATCTTTATATTTGGGCAAAGTTGCATGGTTAAAAAGAACACTCAAATATTCTCCTTATAATAAAATACTCCCAAGGAGGCATAGGATTTGTGAGAATTCCCCAAATGGCTAAATGTTCAGATAAAATCAATTTTGTTCAAATAACAACATAAAAAATAGGCCTCTTAGTAACTGATGTGTTGATATATTCTGTACTTGCTATGGGAATACAAAGATGTTTTCTCATTTAAAATGTATTTCTTTTTTGTTTTTTTACGAGAACTGAATGCAGAAAATCTTTGTAGGGTTATTTTTAAATCTTTCCATTCTTAACAACCTGCTCATTATGTCTGTTTTTTAAGTCATTACTACTGAGTTGTACCACGAACAGACTTGAATTATATATTGACATCCACTTACTTACTGGGTAGACATAGCTAAAAAATTGGTTAGAGGCAACTAAGTAATCTCTATTGAAATTTTTTGTTTTATTTTTAATTTTTTCTATATGAAAAAGAATTTTATGACAAAATAAGAGAAATAATGTACTATGTATCATTATCCTTATTGACATTTTCCTTTGTAATTTTATTGAAATATTTTAATAAAATAAATTTTAATCAAAATTATGCTTATGGAAGCACTCTTTCTGCCTGTGTGCTCCTGGATACTTTTTTTTTCAGTCAAAGATTTACATTTCTAGATTTTAAAATGTACTCACAGATTTCCTTCCTGAATAAATATATTTTCATCTGTTCCATTTTATCCTTGACACGATCTGGTTAAAAACCTAAAACTGAAGGAAAGGTGAAGGAGCTTTTTAATGTTTAGTTCATTTGTTAAAAATTATCCAAAAATCATCAACTTCTGAAAGGAAAGAGATGAATTTCATTGCTTTTTAAATTAATTGTCAGGAATAAAACGTAATTCTGAAAAGAAAAATCCTTTACTTTGAATTGCTTGTTTTAATAGCATTATCCATATGATTTTAAATTTCTTGCTCGTAACTGAGTAGAGTTTTTAGGTGTACCATGGACTGAGCTACTCACTATTTTCAAAACCGTGTGTATTGTTACTGATGTAAATTGTGAAATATAAAAATACACCCTGCTGTCTAAGTACAGCAAGCTGACCTGTTTCTGTTGGTAGTAGTCTAACTTCTTTAGGAAAAACTTTCAAGTGCTTTTCATATACATTTATTGTGCAATCAAATTTTGTGTTGTATATTATAGCCACTTTCAAGATACAAACCTCATTGAGTCACTTCAGAGTTGAGTAATTACAATACAACTGTGCCTTCATGGTACTGGTGTGATATCAAACCGTAGTCAAAATCACTAAACTTTGTATGTAAAAAGACTGTGACAGGTTACTTCAATAAAAAGAGCCAAACAAGCCAACAAATCTGTTACTAAAGTATATTTAACTAAAAATATGAAAGTCATTTTATAAAAAAATTGCTGAATATTCTGGAAAAATTAAATCCAACAAAGTATTACTCTTTTAAATTAAAAGCTTAAATTCTTACTAGGTACGGAAACACTGTTTATTCAATATACATGTACATTGAGTATTTTCTGTGTATTTCTGGATAGTATAGATAAATAGTTACAGACAGGAAAACATTAGACAGAGAACCAAGAACTGTTTAGGCACTGAACTATTTAACTACAAATAGAATATATATTTACACATTTTGTACACCTGAAACCATTATTTTTAAAAACAGAGTGTGGAAATACTATTACTGTCTACATTTTTGTCATCTTCCCAAAATACTTAAAAGAGGTGATTTTCATAGTATTAGACTAAAAATCTAAAATGTTGACATTTTAGTCCTCATTAGAGGACTTTAATAAGTAAGCCCCAAAGAGATACACATCATTAGGAGATCCTGTTTGCTGAAGAAAATAATTTAAATTTCCCCCTGATATAAGGAAATGTGAATGTTTTCATTTCACATTTGCATTTAACATTTCATAAAATCATGAAGATATTATCTTCATACATGATGCTTTTTGAACCTTAACACTTCAAACATTTTTAAAAACTGATGAAAATAAAAGCAAAATTCGATAAATAATGTGCAGAAAAGACTGGAATTTATTACACTGAAATCTTTTGCAAAGTACATAAAAAGTTTGCCTATTACATGTTCATAGAATGCTTCCAGGACAAAAGCTATCTGCTTGCTTTTGCATTATGACTCTAAGATACGTGTTTTGTTATATGGAAATAAGAAGGAACAGTACCTTGCACATCACTTTAAATTCCAGGTTACCTGTGTTTTAGGTTTTATTTTATTTTAATTCTATGAATAATTTGTGAATGTGTGACTCTTTCGAGCCCAAACAGGAGATGTTAGGTAATTATTCTAAGTCACTGGTGAACATCTGTTAACTTTGTACACATACTGTGGTAGAGAGAGCAAATAAAATCCAAGATAAAAAGAGAATTCAAGAGTAGCTGAAGACAGGGAGGCAGTTTGTCATCCACAGAATGGGCATAATTTAATTGCACTGAAATACTGATTCATACCCATTAAATGGTACATTGTATGCTTGCTTGCTTGACAAAGGGAACGAGAACATCTAAATCACAATGTAAGTGCAAGAAGTACTCGATGACTACACAGACGCCAGTTTTCTACTTACACACCAAGATGTCTTTTTTACTGGAATATGTTTTCTTTACAAAGAAAAATCTAGTAATTGAGTACATAAATAAACATACGTACAGAAGAAATTTTCACATATAAGTAAATATGTAAGTTTCTGTTGCTTTAAAATAAAAATTGACTATAGCCAAAACACACATATGTCATCATATTGCATTGACATAATATTAATCATTATGAATTTTAAAAATAGTGTTGTGAGTTGTATCTTTCAGTCACTATCAGTGCCAATATGATAGGTCACATCAATATTCAATAAAATGCTAGTAAGATAAGTTATTTATTCTGCTGCATTATGCAAACTAATATTTTGAGAAACTAAAATAGATACAGGCATCAGCACTCAATGGAAACTCCTTTTCCTGGAAATATACAAAATTATAGTTTAAAAATTGATGCGTATCTGCAGTATATGAACTGATTCAAAAATGTATCCTCAAGGTCACATTTAGAATACTCTAACGAGTTTAACCACATTAAGTCAACGTAAATTTTGAAGGTGGAAAAAAGGATTATTTGAAACATTGAAATAAACATTGAAATAACTAGAGGGATGAATGAGGCATCCTATCAAAATTTAAAAATTGATAAGATTTAAAGATATTTTGTTTTTTCCTTTGGAGAAGTTGGTTTGCAATAAGAAAATCGTTCAAGAGTTCCCTTTTGAGCTTCTGAATAAAGTCTGAATGTGGAAAGTGAATTGATGAGGGAGAGAGAGTAGCAGTACACTGGGATGATGACCAATAAGTGCATATTTCTGAAAGAATCAAGGAAGGTAGGATCCGCAGTCAGGGGTGAAGTTAAATACCGTGACAGGTTGTGCCGATGCAGTTGCCTGTGGTGGTCAGACCAGGAGCACAAGTGAAAGAAGCAACCTAACCGCAAAGACAAGCAACGGGTGAAAGAAATGCACCACAGATGTTTGTGGATGGTGAGACTTGGTAAACTGGCAGTGATACTCTCTGTTGTCACAGCTAATGTTCAGCTCCAAAGGACCGTCTTCTTGTTGCTGTGAGAAGAGTTTCAACCTGACTTTGCAAGGGAAGGTAGAAGTCGATCTCCTAGTTTTCAGATACCCACAACTAGGTCAGATAATTCAGAGTCTGTGAACCAAGTCTGTTCAGGTCAAGCAAAATGCATTCTCTTTAGGCCAGCTGCGCATTAGGGGTACCAGTTGTGCCATACAAAGTGTTCTTTGGTTGAAGGATTTACACTTCTCACTAAAGTTGGGCACATCAATTATAGACCTAGAACATGCACTGCCTCTCTTTACTACCTAGTTTTGCAATGTGTGAATGCCACAAGAACAAACCTCGGAGTCTGAATTAAATTTTACAGGAAACGTAAGTCTGTAACAGAGGACTGGCATGCCATTTTGGTGCGTGTTATATGAGAGTCCAGAATTTTCTGGTGCTTACGCAAAATGAATTTTTCCCCAAACAATTTTACATACAATTAAGTTATCCTGATATTTGAACAAAAATATCATTTCTTTTTTTTAAAGTTATCATTTCTTAAGATTTGTTTTCAATCTATCTTTCCTCCCTAAAAAATAATTATTAATGATAAAACTAACAGTGTTTCTGTTGAGAAAAAATGAGAAACAAGAGAAGCAAACACATGTTTTACTTATTCTTACCATGAATCTCGTGACCACCCACCTTTGCTGGCCCTGGGGGAAGCATAATTGCTACCACATAGCACTAAAAAAAGGAGCAATACACCGTTTTGTAACTAACCACTTAAATTTCTAATATACTACCAGCTCAAACAGAGCATCCCACATACAGAGGTAAGTCTTTCTACCAAAATTTCAACAGCAGCCAGTGCCCATAGCAAAAAAACAATTAGCACTGTGGTCTCTCAAGAACTGAAAACAGTGATCTGTATTGTTTTTCTGAGATTTTACTTTAAAAAATTAATTCGTGTTCATTAATTTATGAATGCTATTACACACAGTGCCTCTGTAAGAAGTTGTACCATTTTCTAGCATGACTGTGCCATGTTCATTCCTTAACCAACTTTGTAAGTAGACATGCAGGCACACAATGTGTGTAAAGTCGAATGAAAGTTACGCATGTAATGTTCTCACCACAGTCATGAATTTGTTACCAAGGTTGAATAAGACTGAATGCATTGAAATTTATTTACAAACAAAAATTATAACCTCATGTATTAAACAGTGCTTTCTTTATGCCATCTCTACCAGTTACATAATATGTAATAAAACCACAAGAAGTTTTCTATATATAAATAAATAGTGATGATCTATGTTTTTGTTTAATGTTTCTATTTTTTTTATTCTACAGCACTCTCAATAATAACAACATTACAAGACTTTCTGTTGCAAGTTTCAACCATATGCCTAAGCTGAGGACTTTGTAAGTAATTAAAAACTAAAACCAAGATGAATTTAATTCATTAAGAACATTCCTTACTGCTCCTAGTAAATAAAGAATGAGACTGCTGTGAGGTTCGTTACAGTGTAAAGAAGAAAATCACAACTCACAAAAATACAAAAAAACAGTATTTTCCTAAATGAACTCTTAATTCTGAAAACTTGAATCATATACATTAAAGTAAGTTTGCAATAGAAAAAAGTATAGAACATTTACTTTGAGCTATTGTAAAGGTCACATTTCATTAAGAAATAGAAGACTCTTTGATTGGCTGTCAGGAATGATAAATGAGAAATCTTTATGATTTTATTACTGTACTCTAAGCAGACCTAATAAAGCTACACTGGTTCTCTAACAGTCTTTGTATTGTAAAAATCACTGCATCACCCTCTAGTGCTTCTGTAATTAAGGTTATGCCAGCATGTATATTTAAAAATAATTTTTAGGGGTTACCGATGAACGTTCAGATTTTTGGAGAAAAAAAATGATTCCCTAACAAACTATTAGCTACAGCTATCTGTTATCTCATGAAGAAAAAGTACTCCTTAAATCCTAGGGTGGGAATAATTATTTTCCGAGGTAAGTCTTACTGGAACTGGATTTTCAAAAGTAATTCTCATTTTATGACAGCGTATAACTAGAAAAATATTATATTTAATTTCTGTCTGCAAAAAAATCAATTAGATTGCTAGCTTTTCAGTGAATTCTAGAATACCAATCTCAAAATCATTTTCTTCTCAATAAAATCAAATCATATAATCAGTCATCAGAGTCCCTTTGGAATATGATTTAACAAATTAAAGCATTTCTAAAAATATATAGTTTTGTCTTCCAGGGGCTATCAGATTGAGACTAATCTGATGTAATTAATAGTCCAGTTCACTGAATATTTTACACAATTAGTTTCCCATTAACTTTAGCTTATTTTTATTAGTATTAGTACATGCTTGCAGTACATGATTACATACATGATCATCCCATGGTATGGGCTGGTATGTGCACAAACAGAGGTAAATTCTTTTTCTTAAAGAAAAAAATTGAGCATGCTTCCAGTCTTGGCAAAATAAAACCACTGAATCTTGTAAAATGATATCATCAGGGCCCTTATTTTCCTGCAGGAATGCACAAGTTCGTCTTAAGAATCAGCTTTTTAAATTTTTATTTTCTTCTTTATTTCAGCTTACAGGTTTTCACTGTGTTGTGGTAGGTTTAGATGGTCATATTTAGAAAAGAACGATGTGGAATGCACTACTGCTTCCAAAGGATAGCGTTTTCACTTTTAAGCAAATTGAGCCTAAGGTCACCTGCTTTGCCTTTGTTCAATGCTATATGCTTTCTGGTTTTTATGCAAGACAATCTATTCCTTACCCACAGGCTCAAGGAGATGTAAAACAGTCATCTTTAAATTCCTTTGCTTTGGTCAGTGCATGGCTCTATAGTGTCACAGCTACTTAAAAATTACATTTTTATAGTCCAATTATCTTTCTGGACTAAGTTCCATGTTTTACTGTGCATTACTGTTATTGGGTTAGAATTGAGCACATCAGCTAAAAAAGACTAAAATGGTATTACAGTGTCACAGATGATTCTGGGAATGATGCTTTGATTTATAGCTTTGGATGTTCCTTTCTTTAGTTTGAGAAACATAAAAGCCAGTTTGAAGTCATTTACCTAATTTAGTGCATACATTTGTCTGATATTTTATTAATGAGGAAGTGCCATTTGCCACTTGGAAGCAATCCACGATCTTGCATGGATCCTGCCAACGAAGAGGGACTCACTTAATTCCTTCAGTGCCAGCCACTTTCGCCTTTTAATTTCAGGCTCTGCTCGTTGGGGATGGTTCCCAAGAGCCCAAAGCAGCTAATCCTTTTTCTGAGATTAAACAAAAAGAAGAGAATCAGAATAGGGGTGTGAGAAAACCATTTGATATTGAATTATTATTCTGCCTTGTTCAGCAAAACGTGACCTGCTAAAAAGATCTTGCAAGCAGTTCTGTAGAGACTAATAACAGCAGAACTGATATTTCATACTGAGTCGCAACGTTTATTAGCCTGCCCTCTGCCCCCACCACTCACTTCCTCCAGCCCATTCCCCTGGCTCTCTATGCTGGGACTGCAGAGCAATTTGCCCCAACTGATGATTTTCTCTTTACGTGTTCAAATGAATAGGGGCAAAATAATCATGTGGTCCTCTTGCACATGAAATACTTACTTCTGAGTATTTACCTAAGTAAAAAGAGACTTGATTCTGTGGTTGTGTGACAGTTGCATTAAAATAATTAGACTGAAATTGGCTGTTTCATCTCCTGTATAAAAAATAAACATTTGTTACTAACTGATGATTTTTTCCATTTCTGAAGTAACTATTTTCTGTGTTCTTGCTTTGAACCTCTTTCCTCTCCTTTAGTCGGCTGCATTCGAACAACCTGTACTGTGACTGCCACCTGGCCTGGCTCTCCGACTGGCTTCGCCAGAGGCCCCGGGTGGGCTTGTACACTCAGTGCATGGGGCCTTCACATCTGAGAGGCCACAATGTAGCAGAGGTTCAGAAACGAGAGTTTGTCTGCAGCGGTAAGACAGAATGAAGAGTTACGTTAGAGTATCTTGTGCTGTTGTTTAGCCAGATGTGAGGGATGAATGCTTCAAATGCAGGGCTGCTGGCTAATGTGCAATTGTGTGCTGATCACGCTCTGGGGACCTTTATGCAGGGGTGGTAAAGATGCATTCTAAGGCTTTTGTATATAGTTAGAAATTGCCACTTACTTATACCTGAGATTTTTCTAACTTACAGAAAATTCTTTGATTTTAGTTCTAATTTCTACTCATTTTTTTCCTCTGTAAGTAACAATTTGTATCCACATTTATATTAACAACTGAAAAATGATTGATTAGCTAATCCTGGATCCCTGCTGTGAAGTTAAATAATTTCATCATAAATGCCAAGTGATTAAATATTTTTCATGTGCACAAATATAATTATTCAAATCTACCTAAAATAAATGAGTGTCTTAAAAAACAAAATATAGAAATAAAAATGCAATATAGGTTATGAAAGATTTAAGTACCTAACAGTCAGTTCTGTACACTTATGCACCAATCTTAATGTTTCATGTATGCTGCCTCATCCCAGTCCCTTCAGAACAACTGTGTGAGCAGTGTAATTTTATCTCTGTACCAGAGATTAAAATACAATGAAAAATTGTAACTTCACACAATGCTGTAACGTGTACACAATGTGCACATGTATATTTATATGTTCATGTATTTATGTATACAAATCTCTATGGATATGTAGTATATTTTATAAATATAGGACTGGTTCTGCTTTAGATATATCTGTTCAAAATGTAATGGAGCAAAAAATATATGTCGTGCTCATTTTTTAATGTATATGTAATATAGTTGGCTCTCTCTATCCATAAGTTTTATAATCATAGATTCAACCATTACAGATAGAAAGTATTTGAAAAAAATTGCGAATGTGTACAAATTTTTTCTCATCTTTGTTTCCTAAGTAATTCAGTGCAAACTATTTGTATAGTACTTACTCTGTCTTAGGTACTGTGAGTAACCTAGAAGTGTTCAAAGGATAGGGAGGGTGAGTGCAGTTTGCATCCATATACTGTCATTTTATAGAAGGGACTGGAGCATCCTCAGATTTGGGTGTCTATGGGAGTCATAGGACCAGTTCCCCAAGCATCCCAAGGGGATGCCTCACAAATAGTTTTTTAAAGGAACAAAGAGCTGTTGCTAGTACTTGACTCTATCTTTTAGATGTTTTAATAAATTTTTCCATTCTTTTTAAAATTCCCTCCTCTTACAGTGCCCTGGAATGTTTTCAGTAGGCCTGATTGTTTTTTAAAAATAAAGCGATGGAATGACTAACAATTCACTACTAACCACTTTTTTCTCTTTGCTTTTTCCTTCCTGTTTTCTAGATGAGGAAGAAGGCAAGTTCACATTTCTTTTTAAGCCTGAGAATACTATTGTCTAAAGGAAAGGGAGTAGAACATGGCTCACAGCCTTTTCTTGGCACAGCCCCAAACCTGGGTCCTTCCCAGCGGCTCTGTAGGCCGTCCCTGCTCTCCTAGAGAGACCGTGGCTTTGCAGATTCCCATTTGGTGCAGCCCACAGGCATTGTGTTGTCCATAATTCCCATCATGAAGTCTAATTTCAGTTGATCTTGTTTCCAAATTTTGGATTGTCAAAACACCTGGCTGCAGTTTAAGCAGTAATGGTAAAATTATAAACAATATAAAGCCCAGAAGAGGATCACATGGATTAACAATCCTGATTGACACCATACAAGTGAATACAATGACTTTAAAGAAAGTAGCTATCTTGAACCTATCCAGGCATCAAACTTACCATTATCTAATTTTCACCACTTTTATTGGCCCAGGATAATATACTTTGAACAACATTTATATCTACCAACACGAAGTCTGTCCATGTTACTCCTTTTGGACACAAACTAAATTAAGCCACATAAATTTGATGAAGGCCAAACTACTTCATCTTATTAGAAATGAATGTTGATTAAGTTGAAATTACTGCTTTTGGGGAGAACTCAAGAATAATTTGGAATAGAATTCTTGTCTTAAACCTAAATTTAGCCTCCTCGCAATTTTGTCGACTTTTAAAAATTACCATTTTTATGAACAGTTTCTAAAATCTTATTTGCTTCATTTAAATATTGGCCTAAAAATAGAAATGCATGCCTCCTAAGATACATTTCAGAAATATAGGACCATTTTATGAGAAATGAATGTGTTTAGAGAAATGTATTTTTGTTGCAATTTCTGTTAACTGAGCTAAGCCTATGTGTTTTACTATTCCAAAATTCAGGAGGAAAACTGACTGCCGTTTGTCTCCTTTAGGTCACCAGTCATTTATGGCCCCTTCTTGCAGCGTTTTGCACTGCCCTGCTGCGTGTACCTGCAGCAACAATATCGTAGACTGTCGTGGGAAAGGGCTCACCGAGATCCCCACAAACCTGCCAGAGACCATCACAGAAATGTATGTGCCCTGCAATTCCTTTTTGTTTTCCTCCATCTTTCCAGCAAATCAAACCATGATTTTCCTTAGGACACTTTAGATTTATCAGAGGCACTTCTGATCGATTACCTTAGACAAATGTTCTTTTCAAAAGTGTATTGACCCTTAACTCTGTTTAATTAAGTGCCTTCAGTGGCTAACATTTTCTTTCTTTCTTCTTCTTTTGTTTATTTATTTATTTGCAAAAGTAGAATTTAAAGGAATGCATTAAAAATAGTCCTTTTTCTTTTCTTAGGTTATATTTTGAAAAAACAAAAGAGTATTTTCCTGTGTGTATATTTCCATACTTTCCTGTGTGTATATTTGTTATTATCACTTGACAGGTTACAGCTCTGGAAATACACAGAGGGAGGCAGCTGGGGGTGAGTTAGCCAGAGAACCAAGATAACTAAACGAGGCACCACCTTACCAAAGGCTTGTTTTAAAGTGTAGTTTTACTGCTTTGTTTGAATGAACAGTCCAAAGCCAAGTATAAGAAACATAAAATGTTACGTGCAGATTTTTTAGTTAGTAAGGGTTAGTTTTCCTGATTTAGTGCTTAATCTCCATCAGTGGCCACATTCTTATGACAAAGTATTACATAGGTACTTTGTATGCAGCTACTAAATGCACATCTGTGTCCTTGCCAAAGATAGATTTTGTGATAAAATAGGTCACTTAAAGTGTAAAATGGAATGCTTTTACCATCCTAGAGAAAGACATAGAGAAAATGTTTTCCTCAGTACTCACTGATTAAAAAAGCACCTCAAACCACCCAGCCTATCCTATTGTTTTTCAGACCATTTCAAAATTGCAATTCAGTATAGGTTTTTGTGTGTATTTTGGGATGAAATAATAAAATATGTATTTTGACCTTCTCAAAGGTCAATACACTATCATATTTAAAAGTTCTTAGCAATCTAACTTTTTTTCTATAGTTTACATGAGAATTTAACTGCTTTAATCAACTTTATATGCAAATAAGCTTCGTTTACAGGACCTGCCACCGTTATTTTAAAGAATCTAGTATGTGTTTCAGAGTGTTCTTTGAGCTTTGGAATATAAGATAGATTCGTCTGTATACGCAAGAACTTATGCAGATTTGACCAAAACACCAAATAATGTATGTACTCAGTAATATTATTCAAAACAAAATTTTAATTGATGAAACACTAAACTGTTTTTAAATATTTTTATATTTGAACCTTCAAAGAAGAATGAGGGATGGTTTTCGAAATGGTAGGTGACATTCCTTGGAAAAGTCAGAACAAATGCAGAAGTGGCATTATCTTTGAGAGATTTGGGTTTGAACCTTCTTAGTGTAACAGATTCATGTGAGGCATCAGAGAAAATATTGTTCTAAGGAAGGCATCTCTGTCAAATTTGAAAGCCAGGGATTCCTGAAGGCATTTAAGCCAGTTGGACTGTACTAAATGCAATTAAAAAAAGACAACAGAAAACAGGCTAACGTTATAAACAGGAACATAGTACAGTCATTTTTAGTCATTTACAGTCATATTCAGGCACGAGCATTTAAGTAAATAAATATCATCAATTCTCCAGTGCTTCTATGTTACTAGAAAATTTAAGATACAATTTGATAACTCCGAAGTAAGATTCAAATAAAAAAATGTTAGAAGACACGAACACGTACACTTGAAGATACTGCAGAGGGCATAGAGCACAGGGAAAATGCAATGGTTCAACAGAGTCAGAACATGTTAGCTGAAATCCCAGCTTTACTTGCTACTTTAATAATTCTGAAGTCTGTGGAAATTGTTTAGCCTGTGCACTGTGTCTTTATGTGAAACTAAGGATTATCATTTGAAATGAGCTAATTAACATGTAGAACTATAGGGACTAGAGTATACTAATTGATCCCCAAAATAATGCCTCAATCAGGAAAGCTTCCATGGGGAAATGGTATCAGAACCCAGCCTTGAGAGAAAGATAGTGAATGGAAATGGAGAGAGGAGAGAAGGCCTTCAGAATTGATAGGAGATTAGGAGTATCAGTCCACCAGAGGGCAATATGAGACGATAAAAAAAAAGGAACTCAGTTTGACTGGTCTTTAGTTCTTGAATGGATACAAAACATAACAGTGAAAAGAGCCTGGAACCAATTCATGGAGGGTCTTAATAGTACAAAATATTATACTTTATCTGCAAAGCATCGAACCTAGGAGTTTAACATGAATGTTCCTGAAGAAATTGCTTTAAAATTGTTCGTTAAGGTTTTGGCAAAAAAGAGAATGCAATGTAGGAGACCTCTTAAGTGGTCTTCCACTGATCTTTGGAGATAGCAAAGAGCTTGAGCTAGTGGGTAACAGAGGGGATGATGAAGTGGAACCAGGTAGAGTAGTTAGTACAGAAGCAGAAGTCATGGCAGTTGGTGAAATGAGCTTGTAACAGAGAAATGTAAACCAAAGATTTCAGTCGTGACTGATGCCAAGGAGATGGTTCTATCACTGCATGTAGGGGCTGAGGAGCAGCACCACACCTGGCAAGGAGCATGATGGTGAGGCCAGTCAGTGAAATACTGAAATTTCAATGGCACCCTTAGAGGCTGTAAAATAATGTACTCTATCATACTTCTGGAGTGGCACAAGAACTGGAGGCAAGAATTTTGGAGCAATTAGTATAAGAAAAAGCAAAGTTTATCATTAAATGACCAGTGGAAAGGAGAACAAGAGCACAGAAGCTCCAAATCCAAAACAGAAACAACAGAGGGCTGGAACATAGAAAGTAGAAAAAGACATCCAGTAGCAATGAGCTGCAAACACAGATATTACTGCTAGTGAGCCACACTTGGGATTTGGCGAGTGTATTGTTCTTAGAGGAATCAATTTTGATAGCAAACCACTTCTCAGAGTTAACAAAGGAAGTATTCTGAATATTAGAGCAAACCGACATCGGGCAGTAGGAAGAGTTTGAATAAGAATTCTTTTTAAGAAAAGGCAATTGTTGCTGTAAAGAGCAGATTTTAAGATAGAGAAACATCCAATCAGAAAACCAGAAGGAACATGAAGAAAAGAATGTGAGAGTTAAGACAATACGAGCAGTATCATTGTGAACATAAGAAAGAAGTTGATCAGATCAGATTACCAGAAAGGATTACAGAAAGCTATTGTAGGATGAGAAAGAAAAATAAACTGTAAGCAATTTATTGAAAGCAAAGTGAGACATTTAAAGTGCTTTCCTCTTTGTAGTCTGTTTTACTTTTTATCATAACTTTGTATGCTCTATAGATTTTGCATAATAGTGGAATTTACTACCATGAAAGTTACACTAAATAATACGTCCCATTGAATTTGCCTATGTGAAAGAGGTAATGTATGAGTAAAAGCTACAATAAATTAAATTTATAAGTAAAGATGAAAGCAGATGTGAAGTTGTAGGTGAATTTAACTTCTCTGATTATTACATTATCAGCTTTATCAGTAGAGCATCAGATAATAAATCAGATTGATCTTCAGTGCCAACAAATACTTTCATTATCATTTGTTATAGTGATGTAACTCACTGGTTTAATGACACCTTGCTTTTATTTCTTTCTTATTTTTATAATAATGAAGGATTAAAACAATGAAGGATTAGTAAGATGAAAACATAAAGCAGTATTTTAACCTTCCAAGATTCTAGGTTTTTAATATATGATGAACTGAAAATTATAAACTCCTCTCATATTGCTCAGATATTTTAAATTTGGATTTTACCACAAACTATCAGAGTGCTTTGTTTTCATATTATCAGATATTTCAGTACTGTTGAATTGCTTTCATGGTATATAGTATATCTTTTTCCTTTCAAATGTCTCCTAATATAATTCTAATAAAAAGTATGTAAGTACTATGTATATATTATCAAATATATATGATTTGAGGTAGGAAAAAATCACACATTCTTTTTTCCAGATTTGTCCTTGCAACTAAAATTTCATACACTATTTTACTTCCTAAAGCATTTATTCATTGCTATGGAATTTTATCTTAAAATCAGGTTTTGAATAAGAGGAAGAAGGATATAGAGAGACTAACATTTCCCTAGTATGTACCAAATTGGATTAGCTACATATGACCTATCACTTTATCTTCCCCTTGACCTGGGATGGTTGTTTATGAAATTAAATAGAAAAAAGGATACAAATGCTTTCTTTACAAGTTGTCATTAACTAATGATTTCACCTTGATTCATGATCTGCCTTCCCATGTGTAGGCTAGGAATGCAGTTGTGACTACACCTAGTTTTCGCATGTAAACTTTTATGTGTAGTTGTGTTTGTTTAGACTAAAGTATAAAGTTTAAGAAGGCAAAACCAGTTTTGTTGTGATCACCACTAAATACACAGCAACAGATCTACTACCTTGGCACATAGCTGGCCCTCGTTAAATGTTTAATAAATATATATTTAGTGAGTGTATAATTTAAAAAGTTGTTAAAAAGTTGTCAAACATTTAGCACAGATCCATCTTTAAAATATCAAACTATCTTAAACAACATCAATAAATAAACAAACAGGAAACAGCTCTTTTTCTTTATGCAGACAAATTGAGCTTTACTAGCATAAAATCAGTAAGAGGAATGTTGAATGAATAGAATATTTAATGTGCAGGTTAAAACTGGCGTAGCATACCAAAAAGCTACTGATTTTCTTTGCTCCCTATATTGATTTGAATCTTGTATGTTTTTAAGATAGTTTTCCTCTTTTTAGCTGAGAAAGCCAGCATTTGAAAGACACTCTTCTTCTTGAGATATATAAATTAATTCAGTCATGTTACAGGTGAGTCTTCGGCATCTTTTTCTAAAGTCCAAATTTCCACTCTAATGAAGCCTATTGATCTTCAACTCAGGTTTCTCAAAAGCTATCACTTGGTGTTAAAATGAGAAAGATTTTAAAAAAAACTTAACCAGTCTTACCAGAAAGTTCAACTCTGAAATGGCTGCACTGATCTACTCCCCTTTAGATTTGTTTGACTTCAAAACG